AGGATATTTTAACATGAGGATATAAAAAGACATCAGAAGCGGTAAAATCAGGAGTGCAAGGCGGTTATGTAATAGTTTACTGTCAGAACCCTTGTAAAACTGCCCTTTTTGATGAGAAATGAGGGCCACTGTCCTGGTGTAGAATGCTATGGGGAAGCTTACCTGCCCGTTTGCGGGTAAGGCTTTGGCTAACATTCTCAAAACACTCCCCACCATTCTTTAGCCGTCCAGAAAGTCAGCAAGAAGGATGCATCCAGAAAACCAGTGCCTTCAGTTCTGTTCTTGCCTAGTGTGCATTTGCGCTGATTGCAACACTTCCACCTTTGTCTTCATGATCATACTGGGAAAGCCATGTTCCCTTTCCTCACCAAACTCTTCTAAGAAATGCTTCAGGAACTTGATCCTGCTTGTTTAAGATCTGCACTGAAAGCTCTGCTCTTGCCTGCATCTGATCTGAGCACAACAGTTGCTGGCAATCAAGCAGGAAGTTCATTACACTTTAATTTTTTGATCAGAATTGTGTGGGCTGAATCCATCGAGATGTCCATGGTGCTATCATTTCTACTGCTGTCAGCCTTCTTCAAGCAGGGCACAAACAAGTTACTTCTGCTCCCTGCAAGTTGATGTGGATAGTCTGTCACCCAGGCTACCTCTTCAATGTCATCCTCCTGTCCCTGTCCCTTCTTAAAATGAGCTAAGTTTGGGGCTGGCACTGTGGTATAGTAGGCTAATCCTCCGCCTGCAGCTCCAGCTTCCCATATGGGTGCTGGTTCATGTCCCGGCTTCTCCTCCTCCAATCCTGCTCTCTGCTTATTGCCTGGGAAAGCAGTGGAGGATGGCCCAAGTACTTGGGCCCCTGCACGCATGTAGGAGACCGAGAGGAAGTCCTGGCTCTTGGCTGCAGATTGGCTCAGCTCCAGCAGTTGTGGCCATTTGGGGAATGAACCAGTGGATAGAAGACCTTTCTTTCTGTCTCTCCCTCTCTATGCACCTTTATCTCTCAAATAAATAAATAAACTCTTAAAAAATGAGTTAAGTTTGTAAACTGTTGATTCTCTTGGGGCACTGCCCCCATCAACTTTTTGGAAAGAATCAATGGTTTTACCAAACTTCATCCCAAGATTCAGCATAAATTTGACCTTTGTTTTTGTTTTAATTTTAGCAAAATTCCTGTTGGTCTAATGAAGATCCTTTTCAAACTGATGTCATGTCTTTCCTAATTCTCCAAATAACATCCTGTTCAGCCTTATCGTTAAAAAACTAGTATGATTTCATCAGGGTGCGAAACAACTGACATCCATGCACTTTTTAATATGTAGTTTCCATGAACTTTTTGAAGACATACAGACTCTAAAAACATTTATCGCAAAGAAGATGAGAGTAGAATAGAGGTTACCAGAGCGGAGGTGGGCAGCCAGGGGAGAATGGGGAGTGGAAAATCATTGAGTCAGTGTTATGCACTGGACAGGAAGAACAAATCTTGGTGTTCTACTGCATAGTAGGCTAACTGCAGTTAACAATAATGTATATTTGAAAATAGTTATGACAGGATTTTGATGTACTCAGCACAAAGAAATGATAAATGCTTGAGATAAGCTTATTACTCTAATTTTAACATTATGCAATGTATGCATGTATTGAAACATTATATTATTTCCCATAATATATATATAATTGTGTCAATCAATAAAAAGAAAATAAAAAACAAAGGGAAATAACAGAAATTACAAATTAAAATCATTTCCAAATCTGTGTTTTGTCAAAATTTTATCTGAAACAAAATATATTTGTGCAATCTTTAGTTGTAGTATGCGTGATATAATTTATGAAATTATCAGACATCGGGGCCAGTGCTGTGGCACAGCGGGTTAACATCCTGGCCTGAAGCGCTGGTATCCCATATGGGCACCAGTTCGAGACCCGGCTGCTACACTTCCAATCCAGCTCTCTGCTACAGCCTGGGAAAGCAGTAGAAGATGGCCCAAGTCCTTGGGCCCCTGCACCTGCATGGGAGACCCAGAAGCAGCTCCTGGCTCCTGGCTTCAGATCTGCGCAGCTCGGGCCTTTGTGGTGAATTGGGGAGTGAACCATCAGATGGAAGACCTCTCTCTCTCTCTCTCTCTGCCTCTCCTCTCTCTGTGTAACTCTGACTTTCAAATAAATAAATCTTTTTAAAAAATGCTTGACCTTGGGGTAGTCTTTTAAAATAAAAAATTATCAGACATCTATAATTCACATATTTACTTTTGCCATGTCAAAATGAGTGAAAAATAATTTGTATAATAAACAATAAGAAATATGAAGGAATATTTTACAGTGGAGACTAATATAAATTATAAATAAGAAAAATTTTATGTGTAAAAATGTCTCCATAATTTATAAGCTAACGATCTTTGTTATCTAAAAGAAAGTAAGGAGTAAATAAGCAAATAAAGATACCCAAAGAAAAATAGCAAATTTCATATCTTTTAAATATTTGGTTTATTTAAACTGTTTAAGAAAGTAAACAAATTTCTTCATGTAATAAACATGTCTTGTCTCAAACTTCTGTTAAACATGAACATGATGCATCTACATTCTGATAAGTCATTTTATAAGATACTTCATATATTTTATTTGCTTTATTTATTATTCTGTTTCATACCTAAATAGAGTTTATGTTCATTTAGTTGGTCGGCTGCTATAACTGTTGTCATCCTGGATATATTATATTTCAAATCAGAGAGCAATTCAAGTGTCTTTTTGAACAGTTTGCTTTTTTAGAAGTTTAGAATGGTGGCCTTATATAATAGACACAAAAATTACTGTATATAATTGGGATCTAAATAGCACGTTTTATGTAATGAATTTTATTCACAAAAGGGAGCTGAGGCTTGCTGAATGAATATCAGAGCTGATAACTGCGCAAATCTAATTATAAATTAAAATATATTTTTACCATTGGATAAAGAAAATGAAATGTAGCAAGTCATTAGTTAGTAAGTTTACTGAGCAGCTAATATTTATTTTTCCCTCTTCTCAAAGATATGATTCTTACAATCATATTGAATTTCAACTTTTCTAATTTATTTTCAAGGCCTACCATTACCTCAGCTCTTACTAACTCTCCAGCCCCAGCCAAGTAAAACACCTCACCCATGCTCTTGCTTGGATGGTGCCTGCTCATCTGGAATCTCTCAAATCACTAACAAAGTCTTATCTCAATTAAATTAAACCTCTGGAATCTCTCCTCTCTTAAACTCATTTTCCTTCATATAATATTTCCCTTCTCTTCCCTGCAGTTTAGCTGTCCCTTATTCCTTCATTATTTTTAACTCCTATGTCTCTAAAATGTATGGGCAAAAACTATACATTTGGGTGAACAAAACAGTATTATAGAGATAAAATACTTTTGATATTTATGTATAAATTGATGTATACAGTTTTCTTGATTCTTTCTCATGGGATCTGGTGACAGGAATAAAATCATTGCTCAGGGGCAGGCATTTGGTCTAGTAGTTTAAGTTGCCAGTTAGGATGCACATGTGTCTTACTTTACCAAAGTACTCTTGATTCAACACCTGATGCACCAGCTCTTTTTCCAGCTTCCTGATAATGCAGAATTTGGGAGGCACTGATGATGGCTCAAGTAACTGGGTTCCTGCCACCCACATGGGAGACCTGGATTGAGTTCTTATTTCGCAGCTTCAGTCCCCAGCCATTATAGACATATGAGGACTGAACCAGAAGATGAGAATGTGCACTCCCTATCTCAAATAAATAAATTAAAAATCAAATAAAAACAAACACTAAGATGAACATCAGACATATTCATTAAAAATTACCTAATGAATTTAATCAAACAGCACAGCACACAGAATATTATTACATGGTGAAAACAGAGAACCTGAAAAGTGTATTATTTTCCAAATTTTCATATATGCAAAAATTTTACTGATAAAATTATTTATAATTCTTAGACTTAAAGCTATCATTTTGCTTGCAAGAACTATACTTAATAATTTCAAAATTCTTGTAATTAATAAGATGCATATATTTTAAGTCTTCTTTGAATAAAAATAAAAATGCATATAAGTATAGCCAAATGGCTAGGTAGGTATTTATTTAGTATTTCCAGACTTTTCTTCATTATTATGCATGCTCTAGAGTGACATAAATAATCACCAATTATCAAAATGGCTACAAAGTTGGTATTTGAAAGTATTTATTGGTTAACAGCATTTTCTAAGATATATTTATAGTATGTTTCATTAAATTTTATACATTTAATCAAAAACAAAACCAGAAAAATAATTTAAAGCAAAATCAAATAAAATAAACTAAGGTTAAAAGAGATTATCTGCTACATTACTGTATGAAAAGGTTTTTTTGAAATCCAACTTGAGACAATAGAAAGCAGCAAATAATCAGTGGAGACTGAATGAAAGTGGCACTAACTCAGTAATATTCACACCAGAAGATCTTTTAAGATTAAAATTCATTTGGCCCGCTCAGCTCCTGATAATGGAAATGCAAAGATTTTGATCCACCATACTCAACCTAAGCTGACAATCTCTACAGAACTCTCTTCTGTAGTAAGGTTGAAAATAGATGAATGCCAGAGAATGGCTAAGACCCTATATCATTAGGATCAAAATTCAGAAAAAGCAATTGGTAATTTAAAAAAATCAATATTTAATTCAAAAGGAAAAAAAGAGGCTACAAAGATCTCTAGACTGTTTCACACTAACTAAACTCTTCAGTAATTCATTCTAAAAGATGTATCATTTGCCTCTTTTAAGGGTAAGAAACTTGAGGCAACTCTTAAATATTATCTATATTTCCTCCTAAACAACTGCCTAACACTCCTGAACCCTCCTTGCTGTAATTTTAATACCAAGGCCAAAATTAAGGACGTTTTTCCTCTTACATATTCTGATTCACATAGTCTTTTCAAACACATAACCAAGACAAGTGAATTCTCATCAACTTACAAAATAAAATCACAGTTCATTACATACCGCAGCACTCAGGACATCTTGGGTGTTTCAGGACATTCATTCCATACCCTGGAAAGCAGCGATTAATCCATACCATTTGGAGAGTACCTTCAATATAGTATATTTCAGGCAGTGGTTCTGCACGTCTGCCAAGCACTTCTACTTGTTGATTAAAAAATCTCTCTATGAGATTTTTAGCCTAAAATATAATACAATTTGAAGAGGTATTAGCCACAAATACAATTTTAAAATAAAAAAGGTTGCATATGGATTTAGAAGCAAAAAAAAAGAACTCTCAAGGTCCTTGTTTTTTTTCCAGCATTCATTGGACATTAATACATGTAAAAAATGAAAAGATATCATCTGCATTCCTCAAGTATTTCCAAATGTACTTGATTGTATACAAATACATAAAATGTACAAAATTTCCAAAAATATATATTTGGATATATAGCCAAATTCTTTGGGCATTCTGAACTTATCATAATATATGGAGAGGCAATGAGCACTTAATCAAGACTGCTCCTTGAAATTAAATGTAGTCCAAAGAATGGACTAAGAAATTTAATGTACTTGAAGAAATGTATTTGATGAACATTTAAAGGTATATCCTGAAATATTCCCTCCATTCTTTCCACAAAGAAAAATTAAGTTCAAGGACAGAGAGAAGGATGAGTTTTGGAAACAACAGTCAAAATACCACTTGGGATAGCTGCAGCCCATTGTGCAATACCTGAGTTCCCAGATCCTCTACTTCTGTTGTCATCTTCCTGCTAATATGCAGCCTAGGAGTACTTAATTCAAGTACTTATATCCCTGCTACCCACATGGGAGAACCACATGGAGTTCCAGGCTCCTGGCCCAGGCCTGGACTGGCCAGGCCCAGCCCTGGCTACTGGTAGCATTTGGTGAGTGACCAGGTCAATAGGAGATCTTTCTCTCTCACTGTATGTTACTCTGCTTTTCAAATAGATAAAAATGAATATTTTTAAGAGAGAGAGGAAAATACAACATATGCTATACTTTTAGCTCTATGTTCTAATAATTATGGTCATAAAATAACTAAGCAATCATTTCTGATAATAATTACCTTTATATTTGTAATAATTATACTGGTTTTACACCTAAAATTAACAAGAGGCTGATACTTTTTTTTTTTTTTTTTTGACAGACAGAGTGGACAGTGAGAGAGAGAGACAGAGAGAAAGGTCTTCCTTTGCCGTTGGTTCACCCTCCAATGGCCGCCGTGCTGCGGCCGGCGCACCGCGCTGATCCGAAGGCAGGAGCCAGGTGCTTCCTCCTGGTCTCCCATAGAGTGCAGGGCCCAAGCACTTGGGCCATCCTCCACTGCACTCCCAGGCCACAGCAGAGAGCTGGCCTGGAAGAGGGGCAACCGGGACAGAATCCCGCGCCCCGACCGGGACTAGAACCCGGTGTGCCGGCACCGCAAGGCAGAGGATTAGCCTGTTGAGCCACGGCGCCGGCTGTGGCTGATACTTTTCTATGACTGCTAATCTCTATGTATTCAAGCATGAAGTAAGATCATAAGTTCAAACACTCTGTTAGTTTGAGTTTTGCTGCACTCCTACCTGCACTTCCATGTTACTTAGAAGTTCAGGTAAATGAACATGTGCCACCCTGTTGTCCAATAGTTCCCAAATACTTTATTTCCTTTGCACCAGTGTAGTTACCCTGGTAACAGGCAGAAGGTCCCTTTGGGGAAGGATAAAACTTAATTGTCTAAATTTCTGACAGTGTACCAAGAGAGACCTGGCTGCTCCTTCATTCAAGGGGTGCTGAGACTATGCACTGGCTGCAGTCTAGGAACTGCCTCAGGAGCCCTGAGTTTGTGTTCTGAGGATTTGAGTTAGACTTTGGTTCACTAGACATAGAACTTTTCTACTTACACTGTTCAAGTAAGAATTCAGTGTGCTTCCTGTTTTACTTCTAGCAATGGATGAACTGGCCAACACCAAAGGTCTGCACATCAGACTTTCTGGTCACTGTTTTGACTCTGCCAGCCTACCTGGTTAACTCCTCCACTTGGTCTCCTCCACCATGGAACCCAATGACTTCCACTGAGTTTGAGCATCAACAGTGAATGCAACATCCTACTTAGTAAGCCCATTTCAATAAAGTAAGCCTGATGCAACTTGATGTTCCTTCTGTCATTATCTCATACTCATCCCACACACATTCCATAAACCTGTGCTTGTAGAAGTTATAAAACTCAAGTACTTCTTTTAGAGTTTAGTGTACTTTCTTATGTGTTGTACTTTGGACTTCACCTTTAGAGACTTGTTGGAACTTAATCCTCTCAGAGAGAGGTGGAAAGTCTGACACCATGGTTAGAAAGGCGTTTCCAACACTGAATCTGGAGATTCCACTAGGGGACAGAAAGATGAATTCCAGTGGCAAAGAAGACACCTCAAAATATAAGAACACAATGTCCTCAAATTTTATCAGGATTTTCTGACACATCCCCTCCCCAAATTAGAGGACCCATTCTTCCCAAAGCAATGCCCTCATTTTAACAGCAGACACCCTATGAGACTGAGAGGTCAACTTGCCTGGTAATTCAATTAATTGATAGATGAGATTCTGCATGTGGTTTTCATTCAGTCCTGAAGCTATAAAAGTTAAGGGTCTCTGTCTCCTTCAGAGAACACCTAGAAAATCTTAGGTTATTTATGTGGTACTTGAGCTTGGAATTCAAATCCCTCAGTTCATTCTTTCCTTTCAACACTTTGTCTAGCAACACTAGAAGTGAAAAAACCAATGTCACATTCCTTAGTTTTCCAAAAATGTTGGAAAGTATCATATACAGAGTCACCTAGAACAACTAGTTGATTAGGAATATCCAGGGCATCACTCTATACAGAGTTCATACTATGGAATCCCAGTACTTTCTTTAGTACTGAAAACAGAGTCAGTAATTAACATATTTAAATATAATAATGAGACAATTCTAGAAACCCCAGAATCAATTCAGAAAATTTATTCTTAAAATTTGGTTCCTCTAGAATCACTCAAGATACCAATCACTTATTAGAGTTCTTCAGATAAACAGAATCAATATGTGTTTATTATACATCTCCTATTAATATATATATTATATATCCTATTGATATATAATGAATCTCTGATTACTCCTGGCTCATAAAATTAGGAAGGCCAAAATGTCCCAAAATTTTCCATCTGTAAACTGGAGAATGAGGAAAGACCATGGTATAAACTCCAGTTCCAATGTGAGAAGCATGATGGTTTAAATCTTGGTCCAATTTCAAAGGCTCAAGAAGCAGGAGCACAAATGTCAAAAGGCAAGGGAAAGTGGATAGCCCAGCTCAAACCAAAGCAACCCCTTCCTTTGTCTTTCTGTTCTATCTAAGCCCTCAGTGAATTCAAAGATGTTCACTCAACCAGGGAAGACCATCTTACTCACTCTACCAATTCAAATGGTTATCAGCTCCAGAAACTTCACAGGAAAAGCCAGAAATAATGTTTTACCAACTATCTGGGTATTCTTCAATATAGCCAAGTTGACAAATAAATGAACTATCCCAGGGTAAAAGGTTATCTTTCTCCTACCAAATTTTGAAGCAAAATTATATACCATCATCTGATGTGGTATTCCATGCACTCAGATTAAATACTTAAAACAATTATCTTTCTAAAAAATTATTTATTGGGGCCGGCGCTGTGGCGTAGCAGGTAAAGCTGCCGCCTGCAGTGCCAGCATCCCATATGGGTGCTGGTTCGAGTCCTGGCTGCTCCACTTCCTATCCAGCTCTCTGCTACGACCTGGGAAAGCAGTGGAGGATGGCCCAAGTCCTTGGGCCTCTGCACTCATGTGGGAGACCAGGAGGAGGCTCCTGGCTTCGGATCAGCACAGCCATCCGAGGAGCGCAGCCATCTGGGGAGTGAACCAGCGGATGGAAGACCTGTCTGTCTGTCTCTGTCTCTCTCTGTCTCTCTCTGTCTCTCTCTCTCTCTCTCTGCCTCTGCTTCTCTGTGACTCTTTCAAGCAAATAAATAAATCTTTAAAAAAATTTAAAAATTGATTGATTGATTGATTGGAAAAGCACAGTGACACAGAGAGGGAGGGAGGGAGGAAGGAAAAGGGAGGAGAAACAGAAGAGAGACAGAGAGATCTTCCATCACTAGTTTACTCCTCAAATACCCTCAAGGGCCAAGGCTGGGCCAGGCTGAAACTGGGAGCCAGGAACTCCAAACAGGTCTCCCACATGGGTGGGAGGAATCCAAGTACTTGGGCCATCATCCACTCTTTCCCATCAGCAATAGTAGGAAACTGGATCAGAAGCAAAGAAGCCTAGAATGGAACCAGCACTTGGATATAGGATGCTGGCATCTTAAGTGGTGGCTTAACCCGATGTGGCACAAGGCTGGCCCCAAGATAATTACCTTTTATCAAGTGGGGACAATAGACAGAGTAAAGGGTTGCTCCTTCTGTAAAGTAGTAAAATATAAATTCCAGTACACTGATAAAATATGTATGGAAACTGTAACTCATAAAGTAACTACTGAGAAAATCATACAAATAGAAATAGTCACAAAATGGAACAATCATAGAACATATGTGTTTAAACTTTAAAATTCCAATTACAGATTTGAAAAAAGAAAACAATTAATAATTGCTGAGTGAAACATTTGATTAAAGGATTTTTTAATGACTGTACCAACTTGATTTATATTAAGTAAAAATCTACAATTCAGTATATCATGTTATATTAGAAGGGCTATAATTTCTTCTCTAGACAAAGACAATAAAAAGCAACAGATGATTTCTATTGCAAGATTCCCTATCATGCTACCTGTTCTCTAATGTGGGCTAATAACAAAACTGCTTTCTAACCATTTCACTGCTAAGTGCAATGCATTAGCTTAATAAATTCCAACTTCATCCACAAGCAGGAAGCTGTACATGTAGTGCTTTGAATGAAATAAAAGAAACAAAAATTCTATAAATTGCTCTTTAACTTTTGATGGCTATAACTCTAATGAACTGAATTATGCCCCACTCAAAATTCCTATTTTGAAGTCCTCATCTTCAGTTCCTCAGAAAATGGCTGTATTTGAATATACACAAAAGATGCAAACCTTCAGAGAGAGGATCTTTAAAGAAGCAATAAAGGAAATACAAGACTATCTCAACAGGTTCTCATAAAGCATGACTAGGGA